AAAATTCATTTGGCATTCCACAAGGTATTGTCTTGGGACAATTGTTCTTGTTGTATGTAAATAATTATTGTTCTTGTTGTAATGTGAACAACATGCATCCTGTGGCTAGGATATATATTTTATACATAGCACAGGATAGGATTCAAAATAAAAATATGTATATCAAAAATCAATATATTATTGCATATTGTGAACTGAAATTACAATTTTACTCTTCGAGCTTTTTGTTCAGCACATAAATAAATCTATGGCCCTTGTCTTGTTTAACTCGTGTGCCATTATATTTTCTATTGCTAAGATTGCAAGACTTGATAAGCGTTCCTGGCACAGAAAATCGCAAATAACTTTTAATTAGTTTTAATTTGCTAAAACTTCGCTCACAACTAGCAGATGTACTAGGAAGCGTAAAGTAAATTCGCAGGGCAATACAAATATTAGGAAACGCATCCTGCAAATCATGCGCATAGATCTGTTGCAAGAGGTAGAAACCGTTAGCCTTCTCTATATCACCAAAAAAAAAATGGAGCTTGCTCTTTAAAAACGTAGAGTTTCTGGCAGAATTCTACTGTGCTCAAATCTTGCCCGTATTTTCGAGCCAGATCTGCTCCATACTTTTGCAGTTTTTCAATTGACATTTTCAAAATATTGATACCATTAAGAAGAGTAAAATTAAGCATGGTAGCACAATAAAACCCTTTTCAATTTCTGATATGATTCGATCAAATACCATCATTATTTCTTTAGACAATAGTTGAACAGGTTGGAGTGTTTGTAATTCGTCTTCACACATCTCGTCTATATGTTTTTTAAGTTTCGGGATTCGTTTTTTGCAAAATAGGTTCAACACCAGTGTTATTTTCTTGAGTTATTTGAGCAATAACTGCGTAAGGGGAAAAACATTGGAGTAGTGAGAAAAAGCAATGTGAAAATTCGAAAATGCACCATCTACATTATTTATAAAAAAAACATCTTTCCAGTTTTCCTTTGAAAGATCACTCAGAACATTTTGAATCGATCCATCATTATAACCCCTCCTGATAGTTGTTGTCGGAGGTTTTAAATCGTTTTGAATGCCCAATCGGTATAAAATAGTGCGATGATCAGATATATTATTATCTATGACAAATCAAGTTTTTCCTGGTTGAGACCTTGAGTATTCGAAACTAACATATCAGGATCAAACATCAAATTGGCTGTGGAACTGTCCGCTTTCTGTCTAAAAAATGTTGAATACAATCCCCAAGAATAGTATAATATTGGCTGTTTATATTTAATTAGTTCACATTCCACAACTGTGAAATGCTTTTTCAACAGGTTCTCCAGGTCTTCAGAAGTGATTGAAGTATCTAATCTGCATACATGCAGATCAACATATTTCGGCACTCCCCTTATAGATGAATCTTTATTGTAATTTCCAATAATCATAGGGTGTCTATTATTTTGCCTTGGCTTTACCGTTTTCCAATTTGAATCCTTCGGTTCCTCGCTCTTTGAATTACCTTGTGCTATCAGTTCTTTTTTCGATGGAGGCTTTTTTTGCTTTTTTTTCAGCCTCTGGGTTTTGCGGGATCATTGTTGGAGTATGTGAATTGTTTTTTTTGATAATGTCAATTTGATTATTTAGCATTATGATATTATCTCTCAGTTCTTGGATAAGATCTTTCTGCTTAAGATTATATTTGAAGATAACTATATCAATACCAGTGTTAGTATTTACCAAGCCTCCGAGAGCATAAAAGAAACGGCATCATCGCATTCACTAATAACTGAGAACTTCCCTTCATGTAAACATTCAGATTTTTTTGCAGTCAGTGATTGTTTCCAGCACCCTGGGTGGAAACTGATCTTGCACTTCACACATATCAGTTTGTCCTTCACTGTTGCTCGTTTACAATAGTTAAATTAAGAATATTCAGCTGGGGCATGAGAAGGCTTCTTCTAAGGCTTTCACTACTTCTGGCAAATTATTTAATAGAGTATTTAAAGCACCATGTTTTGCCGGCCATTTCGTCTGACTAACTTCCTTATGAATTTGTTTTAACATATTTTTTCATAATGTCCCACCTAGTAGTGGAGCCAACAATATACTTTTTGAATCAGTCCAAACAGGCTAATAGCTTCCTGTCATGATGAGACAGAATGAACACCTACAAGATTTAAGGAGTGAGTCAAGCACGGTATGAGCTTATTCTTTGATGTCATTCAAAATGCTTTTTCTAATTATTTTTGCCATTGTGTGTCATTATGATGATATCGCTAGGGGTTTCGTGGGACCTGCGAAAAAAAAGACAGATTATGTATAGATACAATACAGTATCCATAACAGTACACATTATCTGCCTTCATTTTTTTTTTCTGAGTGAATCATTCGCTCAATGTCTTGATCAATACCCTGCATGTTTTCTACTTTATCATACACTCTTCTTGCATTTGAGTTGCATCATGTCCGGTTAATTTTTCTGAAACTTTCATCCAATTGATAAACCCTGTAGAACACATTGCAGATGTGGCGGTAGAAGGCGGTTTCTGGTAAATCTTGCAGCATACACAAACATTGGATTTTTTTCTCAGAATATATTAGCCAAGATCTTTCAACCCTTTCACAATTTGCCAACGTCCTGTACCACATAGAAGATGTTAAATGTCTGCAATTGCGTTCAGAATATCTAAATTCAATGTTTCCGGGGTAAATTTCTGCTTTTGCTAAAGATTGCTAAAGAAAGACCGTTGCTGGTCAGTCATTTTTTCCAATTGTCTGGGCCTGTTCAAATCCGGTTTTTTGCAGTTTATCCGAATTCAAGTGCTGGGATTTAGATCCTTCATCGTGGAGAGAGATCGACGACGGAGTTTTCAAATATAGCTTCATCCCTTTCGCACGCACGGTACCCAGACGCATGCTGCCGCGATCTGCGATTCCTGCGGGCGAGCGGTCGCGTATTTTGAACTATGCCTTCGCGCCTCGCGAATTATAATGTTCCTGTCTAGTATAGGTCAAAATTGAGTAAATGATGGGTCATCAATTCGTCTGAAAGTGTGAATTTGGCTGTCCTCTGAACTTCGTTCTCAGCCTTTGTCGAGGACGGATGTGCTTGTTGAGAGCTGGTGGTATATTTTTTGGATATCTCAAATTTATGTGATGAATGTGAATTGTGAAAAAGGACACAATAAGAGTAAAAACTGAGGTATCATTAACAATTCATACATCAAAGTTTTTGTTATAAACAATTTAAAAAATTGCGATAAGCAACAAAGCAGTGATAAATGCTTTTTGTTCGAGTAAAGTTTCATCGAAAATATAGTCCATTCAAAAGAATCAAAACCCGATAAATTCTACAACGTTTTTCAAATCTTATCGGCCGAAAGGCGATAAGATATAAAACAACCGATATAAAAACCTTTGCCAAATTGTATGGTCTAAGGCACGGTTTACACGTTGGACATTATTTTGGGAACAACGTAAAATCTTCATATGAACTCACGTTTTTGGAGGAAATATGGAGAAAAAAAAGAAAGGGACGGGCGACAGGGAAATTGACGACATCTTTAAGCCAAGAGAATCGTTGAATAGGACGCCACCGGAAAAAAGGAAGAACATAATGGATACACTGAGTCAGGAAGCCAAAGCGACAATGGAAGAACAGGTCAAGGAGATACTGAACAAATCCAATGAAACTATTGAATAACTTAGAGAGGATTTGAACAGAACCCTAAGAGACAGTGAGGAAAGTGACGAGGAGAGAGAAGACCACCAGGAAAATGTAGATAAATGTTGCTAAGAGCAGGGAAGCACACCTGGAGGTGGATTCGTGGATGGCCATGTTTGGGGAAATGGTCGAAACAATCCATAAAGCGACCACTAGGTTCACTGGAGGAAAGATTCAGTTCAACCGGAAGGAACAGAATGCTGTAAACGGAAGTTTACAGCATTCTGTTCAGCATGAGGATCAGTGGTAAAGTTGGGTGCAAGCTTGAGACGCTTGAGGTAAAAGAGGGCATGATGGAAGGGAGAAAGAGAGAGTTGGAAAAAAAGTGAGAGAGTATGAAAAGGAAAAAGAGGGTCTGAGAGCGCTAACGGTAAGACTGGAAGGATTGGTAGGGTGTATGAACGGTATGAGTGAGGAATGGCAAGGGATGAAAAAGATGATTATGAATATTGACAGACAAATAAAAAGTGGGGATAACAAGCAAGAGAAAAAAAAGAGGAACGCAAAAATGAATACAGAGAATGAAAGTCAAAGAAGAACTGAACTAACCACTGAAGGATCCGAACTTCTAACTACTACGGAGATGGAGACGGACCTGGAGACAAAAGCGGCGGATGTCGACAAGGAGGCTGGATTCCGAGAAGTACAGAATAGAAGAAAGTTAAGGCGTAGGAATAGAGGCAAGAAGGCCTATCCTACGGAGATTGGAAAACCCAGATAGGCTAGGACGGGGTGGAAAACTTCACCCCCCCTATAAGAAGAAATTGTCATCATGAAAGCCAATCAAGAAGACAAGGTCCCGATCACAAGGATAGTGAGAGGCTCCGCAGAGAGGGATGTCTGTCCTATGTGGAAGCAGTTAGTAGAAACCGATCAGGAGTAGTGGTGCTCAAAGGGAAAACAGAAGAAGGCAGAAAACGAATCAGGGACGTACTACAGGATGAATGTAGGGTAAGCATCAAGGCGGATCAGAGATCGGGTGAAAGTTGGGTCGATTTGACCATCAGTGAAAGTGCGCAGGTGAATGAATGGAAAGTGTACATGGAGGAAACGATGAGTGATCACAGAATGATTGAGTTTTGCTTGATGGCGTTACCAAAGATGAGAAGGACGATAGTAACTAATGTAAGGAGAACCAACTGGGATGGGCTCGAACGGATGATATCAGAGTACCACCCAGGAAGGTTGGATACAAAAGAGGAGATCGAGAGGGAAGCAACGAGGCTTCAAGAGAAACTGAGAGAAGCATGTATGAAATTTATACCTAGGAGTGAAAGGGTAATGGACACGGAGAGAGAATGGTGGAACGTAGAGCTGGAAAGCCTACGAAGACAGGTAAGAAAGAAAAGGAAAGAAGCTCAGGACATGAGAGAAAAAGAAGGAAGGAGGAGAAGGATGGATGAGTACAGGAGGGAAAGGAATGGGTATAAGAGGATGATTGGGAATGCAAGAGTCACATGGTTGAAGGAGAGAGTGGAGCGGATCCAGGATGAAAATCCGTGGGACCGAGCCTATCGACTCCTCAACAATGGCAAGAGTGGAGAAAATGCCGTCGAATGTCTTGAAAGGCATCTGCTGAGCAAGTACTTCCCTAAGGACGATCTTCTGAGAGACACTTCAGTCAGGCGTTGGTGGAGGTACAGAGAGCATGAACCATGGGGAGAGAACCAGCCTGGCTTTTCGTTGGGAGAGCTGCGAGCCGTGGCAGAACAGCTTCTAGACGGAGACAGCTTCTAGACGGAAAGTCGACTGGAATGGATGGGGTCCCTAACAAAATTATTCGTGAGGTGGCAGAATGGAAAGGCGACCGTATGATCGAATTCTTCAACGCATGTCTGGGAAGAAGGATATTCCCCGGGGAATGGAAGCGCACGAAGGTTGTATACCAAAGAAGGACGGAAATCCCAGGCCAATCAGCCTACTGACGGGCATGGGAAGGATGTTGGACAGGCTTCTTAATGGTAGGATGCAAATCTGGTGCGAAAGAGAGTTGAAATTCTCACCAAACCGATTTGGTTTTAGAGGGGGCATGGATACTGTTATGGCAGTAGAGAGAATGGTGAATAGAATAAGAGAAAATAAGAGAGAAAGGAGACATAGTTTGGTTGTGGCGTTGGACCTTTCAAACGCCTTTAATACCGCGTGGGCACCGGCAATTGAGATGAGTCTGAGGCGTATGGGAATGCCGGAAGATGTGGGGAGGACATGTATGAGATTCATAGGAGAGAGAACAGTCACCTGTGGTACAGTGAACAGAGACTGTCCACAAGGTTCAAGTCTGTGACCGACCCTATGGTTGATAGTGATGGAAGCATGGTTTGAGCGAATCAACAGTATGAAAGGTAGAGAAGGCATTTGGGCAACTGGATTACAAGTGCAGGCCTACGCGGATGACCAGCTTGTCATCATCGAAGGTAACTCCGTCGAAAGCATAGAGGACAGATGGAAGTTGGTATGGAATGAATGTAAGGCATGGGAGGAGGAGATGTGGCTGAGTTACAATGAAAGGAAGACGGAGTGCATGTACATACCAACTAGTAAGAATGAAAGACCCCCGGTCCTAAAATGAATGGGAGAAGTATGGAAATGAAAACGAGTGTTAGGAGTGGTGGACTCGGGATTATTGTTCATAGACCACCACAAGGAAGTGAGGAAAAAGCTGAGTGAGTTGGCAGGAAACATGAGGAGGTGGACTGGGAGAAATATTGGATTAAAGAGAGAATATGTGAGAATGATATATGAAAGGGTAGTCAAACCTGCGGCTCTGTATGAAGGCTGTCCAACTGCTCACTGGGCATGGGAACTTTCCGGGATACCTGGCAAGATTTAACCTGGGCCCGGAGGTTCCCTGCTCCTGTGAGTACGGGGAGCCTGAAACGGCAGAGCACGTGATTGATAGATGCATGAACGGGGACAGGACTGGATGGCGAGAATGGAAGGAGAGGACGGAAAGGATAAATTGCGAAATCATGTTGAGAGATACAAATGAAAAAAAGGATGAATGGATACGTTTTATTAATGACTGGGCGGAAAACGGGGTGAGGGAAGAAAAGGAAGGATAGATGTGGAGCTGCACCCAAACAATCGTGGAAAACACTAGAAAGAGCGGATATAGTTTTCGTCAATCATGGCTTGAAGCGATACCGTTAGAATGTGAACGAATCCAGGAAAGTGCAACATAGCTTGTATAAATCATATACAGTGTCACACATAAAGTCCGCATAAAATGGGATTTTTTTTGTTCATCTCTTCAAGCAACTTTTAATATCTCCATTAGGTTGTGCTTTAAACATGATGCCAAATGACATACGTATGACCGATCAAGTGATTTTTCTTCCCTGTCCAATTTGATATTTTTTCCAAAAAATGTTCAGAAAAGCAGTTATTGCTCGTAATTTCGAAAATCGGTAAAGAGAATGATGATTGTTTTTTCATTTTTTACCCATATACCAATTTTTAGCTCTCTAGTACAAATTTAGTTTTTTTACAGTTTTTCGAAAATTTGACATTTGCCGATTTCTCAAATTTAGCCAAACCTCAACAAAGTTAGTGCTTTATGCCTAACTTATCTTTNCGATTTTCGAAATTTCGAGCAATAACTGCTTTTCTGAACATTTTTTGGAAAAAATGTCAAATTGGACAGGGAAGAAAAATCACTTGATCGGTCATATGCATGTCATTTGGCATCATTTTCAAAGCACAACCTAATGGAGATATCAAAAGTTGCTTGAAGAGATGAACAAAAAAAAATCCAATTTGATGGGGACTTTATGTGTGACACTGTATAGGGGTTGGGTAAAGAAAAACAAAATCTATGCTCTCGACCAATCTTTACAATATCCCTGCAGTTGGAGTCCAAAATGAGACTACCCTCTACATAATTATTGTCCGACTTGAATGACTCTGAAGGATTATATTGCTGGAAAAAAACACTTGACGCACTTTGAATAACACCATTTATTCTCTTTCACATATACTGAATCACATACAATGACTAAACAAGAGCGGCGCCTGTATCCGAGCATAGAGAAACCCCAAATGAATTCATAATCTTCCTAACAATATTTCATTGAATCATCACAGAAACAAAAACCTTTCGATATCGCAGTTATGATTCATCGTCTTAGCTTCCCATGACCGGCAGCGGCTCGACAAGATATTCCTCATCGTGAGGTCGATTCTTACAATAATCACTTACACAATTTGAATTTGATGCAAGTTTATTATTAATCTGCATTATTCTGAGGGTACATCCTGTATTGTTGCTTAAAAGATACAATTTCACATTGTCACGTATATCAAATTTTCTACCTGCTTATCTATAGCCTGCAAATATTTCAATAAAAGAGCTTACATTATGGTGTGTAGGCTTTCACGGCCGGTGTTGTAACAAATTGTCCGATGTTTCTGGGGTAATTAGGTAATTATTAGGACATTCCAAAAGTTTTGTTTGTCCGTTTTCACGAGTCTACTTCAAACTGTAATATCTCAGTGAATACTCATTCAATTTGATCAAAATAAGCTCCATTTGAATCAGTTCACTTTTGCCAACTTAACATAAGTCAATTCAGTTCGTCAGCACAAAAATTAAATGCTCGAGATTCAATAAGTCTTCGGAGGCAGTTTTTGCTTGGCCCTGATTGGCGAAGGTCCTATTGGTGAGAAAGTTATTGAAGTGCTCGAAAAGATGGTAGTCGGTTGCTAGAGGTCTGGGGAGTATGATTGGTGAGGCAGAATTTCGACGCTCAATTCGTTCAATTTTCGGACGGTAATTTGTGAAACGTGCGAACGGGCGTTGTCCTGGGGCAGGATCGGACTTCTTCTGTTGACCAGTATCGCCTGCTGCTGACTCAATTTTCGGTACATTTCGTCGATTTCCTCACCATAGGTTTCTGCTGTGATCGTTTGACAAGGAGTTATAACAGTGAATCACACCAGCCGCTGACCACCATACAGTAACCCTGAACTTTTTCTGGTGGTTTTTCGCCTTTGGGAAGTGTCTGGGTGGCTCATCGGTGTCCAACCACTGTCCTGAACATCTGTTGTAGAAGATCCACTTTTCATCACACGTGACGATTCGATCCAAATAGGATCGTTGTTGTTGCACAAAAGCAAAGAAGAACAAACTTTTAATTGTGACAATTTCTGTTGATTGTTGAAATCGTGGGGCACCCACTTTTCTAGCTTTTGACCTTTCCAATACGTTTTAAACCATCAAAAACCGATTCGTATATTTTCAAATCAGCAGTATTTTTTTTCAATGATTTTCCCGTATTTCTGGCATTACTTGTATTGTTTGTATTACACATTACTAAAACATAATCTTCAGAATCATATTGTAGTACATGAAATATGTTCTGTCAGGTCAGAAATTTCAGAGGAGGGCCCAGCAATTTTTTTATTTGATTCTGGTAACTTTCCAATACATTTTGTGAAAAGTTCAATATATACTCATCTCCAGTGATAAGTATTTTCTTTGTGAAATCATCGATTGTAGTTGCGTCAAGGTCAACCATGTGAATATGTTCTTCAGTTTCGTCAGATGGCTGCGTCCTCAATCTAGGCTGTGTTCTAACTTCAACCGAATTTCTACTTTCTACTTGTATATATTTGTTTCAAGTTTCGGTTTCCATCTCTGCTATTCCCACTTTATTATATTCTGTTTGTGCAGATGTGCTTTTTTGTTCAGTATACTGGTTTGGATTTGCTACGTAGTCCCGAGTATTGTACAGTTGTTCAATAATTTTTTGCAGTTCCATGATCTGCAATTTTACTTCCTGTATATAACTTTCGATATTGAATCCAGTATTCGGTGTTCTATTGAAAAAATTTAAAAAAAAGAACTACATTTGCAAACATCTTCCTTAAAAATGGGAACCGTTGAATAGACCAACTTTTTGATGTTATTTTTTTGTATAACTTTTTAATTTTTGTTTGAAGGTGATTGACAATGTTTCGTGATGAATTTCACTAGTTCGGACTTCCATTGTCTATTATATAAAATGATTTGAAATTCCTGAAACAAGTAAAAAAGAATAATTAAAAAAGAATAGTTGAAAATAACAATTATATTAAGCAACAATAAACCTGAAATGAAATGATAGTAATACTGTCCCGTATGAGTGAGTTTTCGGTATACAGATGTTTCCCACTTAGTGTCGGTCCTCTTCACCAAAACGTCTAAGAATGGCAATTCATTGTCATTGTCATTTTTATATTTATATATTCACTTTGTATTGAAGAACTTCACCATACTACAATTATTTATTGCCTTTATCTTCTTTTTTCAGTAATATTAGGAAGATCTCATTATCTGCTTTATACCTTAGCAGCGGCTATGCAACCTAGAATGCTTGTGACATTTGATGAGGAACTGAATCCACTGCCCATACCTGTGCGAGTGGGATTGGTGAGTATTCCAGAGCTGTCGTATAATAATTGTAATATATCTTTTAGTGAATAATCAAAAATCCCTGTAATTTCATGGTTTATTTAATTTGTATTGTTCCATTTTCAGGCTGTTGATGTGGTTGGTCAGGCAGGCAAACCAAAGACAATTACTGGTTTCCAAACTCACACTACTCCTGTTCTGTTGGCTTATGGTGAAAGAGCTGAATTAGCCACCGAAGAATATGTAGCCTTAACACCAATTATGGAAGGTTTTGTGATTTTAAGGAAAAATCCTGATTTCAATCCATAATTTTTGTGCTGATATAAACTTTTTCTAAAATCCTGTAATGTTAGGAATGTAATAAATATAATAATATTACCAACAATTAGGGTTTCTTTCCAATTGGTTTAGAAATATTGTTCAATTGGTTATACAATAGCCAGTTTGTTATAGAGGTTCACTCGTGAAATTACAATTGTGTTGAATACTGTTCAATTTCAGTGCTACGACGATGGCTGTTCTCTTGCACAGAATTGCCTTTCATAAGAAGACAAGAGCCGCTAACAAAAAACCTAATGAAAAATGAGAAATGAAATTTTCATGATGATCTCCTACCACATAGTAACGGCTACATCCATCAATTTATTAAAAAATAATAATTTTATTCCATATGATATAGACATCTCCAAACAAAATTCGAATAACTAAACAATCATAGGAGATAACATGAGTACCATTTCCAGTTTATTGTCAAAGTTGAAATATGCTTTATTGTCTGAAGATTCATGTCTTATTGACAAAGCTTGGTCAAAATAATAATAATAAAAAAAATTACACATATTAGATATCGCTATTTAGTCAGGTAACTATTTGAGTAATGTTTGGAAAACTATACAGTGCACTTCTTTAATGTCCCCCCCTTTTATTTTTTGAACGGGTCAACTCAAAAAATTGAAATTTGGGAAACTGACAGATAACACTTTCAAGGCGGCGACTGGTTGCCATCTGCGAAAAAAAAAATTAAATAGAAAGGGGGGTCTTGTGACACATCACTTTGAAGCTCCTGACGAATACTTCACAACACTAGGATATGAAGTCAATATCTTCACCTACTACAAAATGGCGGAATATTTAATAATTTCCTGAAGACAAACACATTAATATCGATATTTATGGAAATATTCCTTTTTATCTGCCATATGGCAGTTCCAACAACCCAATAAGGTTTGTTAAGTTATTTTTTGTTTATAAAAACTGGAGTGATACCAACCCTCACGTTTTCCGGGAAACACATACCCAATATCCAGAAAAATTTTACGTTTGGGCAGGAATATTGGGAAACCATATTGTAGGACCTATATTGATCAAAATTTGACAGGGGAACTGTATTTGAATATGCCGGAAACTACTGTTGACGCTCTCATCACTGAAATCGTAGAAACGAATTCTAATGAATTTGATATGCATATTCCAACAAGATGGAGCACCACATTACTCCAGACAAGAAACTATTTGGATACTGCTTTTCCCGGTCGTTGGATTGGCCGTCAAGGTCCTACAGAATGGCCAGCCCCTTCGTCAGATTTGACACATTTGGACTTTTTTATGGGGCTATTTGAAGCAAAAGGTGTACGAAACTGAACCTGCAGAGAATAATAAATATTTGTAGAGATATTGGCGTTACTTTGTTCGAAAATGATCGGCGTGAAATATCTGATGGGCTGTTCATATGTCAAGAAGTTCAAGGCGACCATTTCGAGCATCTTCTGAATTGACCTCAAGCTTATTACCTCATATTATGTAGTTAAATGTCAATGTATTCAGGCAGTCGGTAGCCAAGCGGTTCGGCGTGGGTGCTTTGTTCACTCACTCGAATTGACTGCCGTGTTGGTCGGTGGTTCAAGCCCTAGTCTGAACGATCGATCTTCACTTGCTACCGTCCAACCCGTGTTAGGAATCACACGTTAAAAGGTAANTGATAAAAGCGGTTTTATAATACTTTACCAGGTCTACCCTATTTTTGTATCGCAAGCGTGTTGGGAGCAAAATATTTTATGAGCTTTTCAAGCTTTCGTAGTGGCGTTCGCAGGGCCGGATTTGGAAGACTGAGGGCCCTGAGGCAACGAAGGAGTGGAGGTCCCTTAATTTTTTTCATCTAAAAGTCGATTTTTCAACTTCCTGCTGAAATTGAAAATTTTCAAAAAAAGGGGAAGCGGGCAAAAATCGACGCGTTCATTATAGTGTCGTTTAAAAATTTCCATTCAGGTGATTTTTTCACCTTTTTTTTTATTTTGACCTCAAAGAAGCGAGAAGTTGTAAGAATGACCTGCAGGGTCGATTTGGATCAATTTACAACGGGGCCGTTCAAGTATTACGTAAGCAGATTTATTACAATTATTAACCCGTCCACCCCTCATCTCCCTTGTCAGCAAAAGTAAGCAAAGCTCTTATCTTCTCCCCCCCATGCTTACGTAAACATTTGTCAATCAATGTATTGTTTTTTTTATTATTATAACTACAACGTTATAATTATAATTTGAAAAATAAGAAAATAGATTTAGGATAGAGATTATATTTTACTGATACGGTATTCAACATAGAGTAAAGGACAAAAATATTATATCTTACTAACATAACAAACTTATTTTAAATTTTTGGTACACATATTAAATTCAAATTAACAGTCTTCAGTCCATGAGACCCGAATTCATGATTCTAAGTTTTTGATGACATTGGATTGCTTCGATTGCTGCTCAGTGTTGTGAGTCTGCTCGCTTTCATCATATTGTGGCAAGATGATGACCTATGGCGATCAAGGACTCTACCCTTAATTTAGCATCAAGGCAACGACGCTACATAATGTAACCATGACCAACCGCGGTAGCTGATTCTTCGACTTGATACTTTTGATGATGTCAATATGTTTTATATTTGATGATGATGTCAATATGTTTTATATTTGATGATGATGTATTATAATAAAACAGTTGTTTGTAAGATCTGATTGGGGAAGAACCCCCTTGTACAACTCCTAGGCAATAAACCTAGTATCTAAGTATTCTGGTGTTTCCCTCATGGTATTTCCCCTCATAAGGCTACCCCTGAGTCACATCCCTAACCGAAGTTGTGACAAATTTGGTGGAGGCGCCGGGCATTTCGTATTATCCGCCAGACAGCCTGTATTAGCCAGCAGGGAACCCGTATTAGCCGCCGGACACCCCGTATTAGCCGCCGGACACCCCGTGATAGCCAGTGAAATTTTTGTAAGTGTTACAACTTGATGTTAACTAGACTCCGTCGCAAAAAACTGCGGTTCGAAAGTGGTTCACCAACTGCAAGTGAAAACGAAGAATTTCAGAACTCAGAAGAAAAAACCAAGATGCCAATAGAAGAAGAGTAGCAGATTACAGCCGGTTCTAGGCCTCCCCCACCACTATGACGTATTAATGGCTTTTTTTTGTTGTTTAGTAACATCAAGGCGATGTAACCTTGAAGGGTCTGGTGCAGGGATCGTTCAGATTTTTTTTTTCATGAGATTTTTGGGTGTGTGTGTGTGACATAGTGACGTAATTACATTTGATTGGTGTGTGTGTGTGTGTGTATGTGTGTGAGAATGCACGGTACAAGGTTCCATCATGTGCTTGTCTATGTACAAACATACGTCTGCATACTTCGAATATCCTTCAAGTAATGAATGTTCCATCGGTGTGAGCCCACCAAGTTAGTAGTGGTGTGACGTTACAGCAGCATCCGTCCAACGGTATGAGATCAAGATGTTCACTCCACGACGTGTGGCTGAGTAATACGTATTCATCGGTCGGCCCTCACCTCTCTCGATGCGATTAAGGCTGTGACGTAACGCATCGCACTAGCCCCACGATCGGCCGAGGACTGTCTGCCTAACGTCTACCCTCTACGAGAGCGCAACGACCACTGCCTGTTCGTATCGACATCTGTTATCGCATTCAATTGGGAGGTGGGCTTGGCGCACGTAGTTGAGAGGTAGGGTTGGCTATGACGTCTTGACGGGCCCGATCAGACTGTATTTAAGAAGCGGACGAGTGTTGGTTATGTCAGTTTACATCAAGTGAGTTAGTGAGAATTATTATATAAAATGTATTCCTGTGAATGTGGTAAATCTTTCACTCGTAGTGATAATCTTCGTCGGCATCAGCTCCAGAGTTGCCAAGGAGGGCCTTCAGTGAAACGGATGAGANCATAGTGGGAGATGGCCTCTACGAATTCAATGTCGCTCCTTTTGACCTTTCAACAATTCCACCTTTGTTTCAGAGATGTATGGATCAGGTTCTATCAGGATTGAAATACAACACGTGTATAGTTTATTTGGATGATGTTCTGGTGAAAGGAGAAAATTTTGAAGATCATTTAATAAAATTACGTAAAGTATTTGATCGGTTCAGAAAGGCAAAGTTGAAATTGAAACCTACTAAATGTTCTTTCGGGTTCCAAGAAATAAAAATTTTAGGTTACGTGGCTAGTAATATTGGTCTGTCACCTGACCCTGACAAAATTGCTGCAATTGAAAATTTTCCAATACCTAAAACTGTAAAACAAGTACAATCTTTTATTGGACTCGCTAACTATTATAGAAAATTTATTGCTAATTTTGCGGATATTGCAAGGCCTCTCACTGTGTTGACAAGAAAAAACTCAAAATTTCTTTGGTCCAAGGTTGAACAGAAAGCCTTCGAAGAGTTGAAATTGAAACTCGTTAACTATCCAGTTCTGTATCATTTTAGAAATGATCTAGATATCGAAATCCACACTGACGCGAGTAATTACGGTATAGGCGCGATAATTTTACAAATAGATGGGTTGGAAGAAGCCCATTCGGTAGCGTATGCGTCCCGACGCCTGTCAGCGCCGGAACTCAAGTACCATACCACCGAAAAAGAGTTAGCTGCTCTTGTATACGGAGTAACTCACTTCAGACAATACCTCAGGGAAGAAAATTTTGGATAGTCGTTGACCATCATGCTCTGTGTTATTTACATAAGAACAAGGATGCCTCAGGAAGGCTAGCTAGATGGGCTATACGGTTGCAAGATTATGATTATGAAATTGTACATAAAAGTGGGAAAAAGCATTCCGATGCGGATTGTTTGTCACGAAATCTTGTTTCAGACAAGAATCATGGTACAAGGATCTATTATGGAATCAGATAGAATCCACATCCGTAAGTCTAGAGCAATAGAATTTTTGGGTGAGGCTTTAAATTGGTGTTGTGCAGTGTTGACAAAACGCGCTATAGAACCGTTTTTCGCCGACGAACAAAAAATTAGGCACATTATCAACCGAATTAGGATTCTCAAATGGATCCTTTACAACCAGATCTTTCCCCTATCGAAAAAATCCAAACTCATA